CTCTAATTAAGTTTTTTTTTTTCTTGGAATATTGGGTGGGATTTGAACCCACATTTATCTAACTTAACATGTCATGAGAATAAGGATGATAATTTCCTCTAAAATTTGTAAAATTTTACATAGATTTTCGTTACGGCAACAAAGATTTTAAGAATATTTTTCCAATAAAATGGAAATGAAAGTATTTTTTTTCTTTCAAAACTTCATGGAAAATTTTTTTTCGTCTTCTAAAGATCTGTAAAAAATTCATATATAATAATAAAAATATATACATTTATTTTTATATATATTTATAAATATATTACTTATTAATTTTTATTTACCCAACTTAATTGACTAACCTAACATGACTTAAATTACCTAACTTAATTCTTTTTCGTAAACCAAATTCAATAACCCAATCCAATATAAACATATATGGCATTTCATGTATTGTATTTTTATGAACTTCTTGCTAAACCTATTGGACGTATATAATAGTGTGTATTTGTGACGATTAGTTACTAGATAATTCCTTTACTATACTTATTTGTTTGAATTGTTTTAAATTTTTTTTATTTATAAAAAAAATAAAATAAAATTTTATATATTTTAAATATTTAATATTTGATGAAGACTTCAAACACTTGTGAAGACATATCATTCTTTGCGAACATGGGAAAGGAGGGTTTTTTTACCTTTATGAAAAATCTCAATAAGGATTCTCATTCCTATTATTGACAATAATAAAGATGGAGGAGGGTCTCGCTCTTGTGAAACCCATTACCATCCTTATATGAAAAGTCATTTATAAAAAAAGGATAATAATTAGGTCATAAAAAACCCCTCTCTCTCTCTAATTAAGTTTTAGAGGTGGTAATAGTTATATTTTTTTTATCAGTTATATATAGTAATATAATCAATTAGATCACCACTTGGGGATCTTAGGTTTGATATTTAATTGAATAGAGATCTAATTATAGATATCGATACGGCCGAAAACGATACGTATGACATGACTCCGGGATCTCAAGTTTGTCACTCAATTGAATATAGATATTACAGCTACCGATGTGGCCGAAAATGATACATACCATAAATTCTAGTTTTGAGTTCCATCTACAGTTAGGTGGGCCTTTTAAAAAATAATTTATATAATAAAAAATAATTTTTAATTTATTTTAATTCATTTCAATTATATATTATATAATTTAAATTTAAAATTTTTTATTTTAAAATAAAAAATTATTATTAAATTATTTAAATCATTAACCTAATGTATCCACCTATCCCACTTATTCCACGTGATTATTTTTGTATGCATCGTTGATCGTACCACTTGGTTAAATTTGAGCTACGGCCCATTGACTGTGTATTATGATTTAAACATTGAACTCGCACCGTGAGGGTATAGATCACTGTCAAGAGATTTCCTCAAAGCTGACCTACGAGTATGCTGATATCTTAAATGTCATAAAATAGGCTTATCCGTTTAGTGTTTTTATTTTTATTTTTATTTTTTTTAAATGAGGATGTTTTCAGTCGCAATCTAATTTGCACATTTTTTGAAATTAATTATTTTATGATTATGTTAAAAATAATTCATCCACGTAAAAACTAAGAGATTCATGAAGAAGAGGCTTAACAATTGATCTATATTGAGTTTGCACGGTGTTCTTCCAATGCACAATCACAACGAATTAATGGGGTGAGCATTTGGTATCAGTGCACTGTTACCTACATGTAAGAACAAGTCTGAAGTGTCAAGACTTGGACTGCTACAGTAATCCCTTTATGACCGAAGTGAAGAATGAATCCTAAACTTCCCACTCAAATAACTGCATGATAATGACGATAAACATGCCCGCACCTGATTCCTTATGATGAGTGACACAGCAGGTATGGTGGACACCTGTGCATCTGAATACCTCTCAAATTCTCAGTCATGAAATAATCGTTTGGATGAACACGTCAGGCTCCGATTATCTTGCTTGGCATGCCACGTGGATTCCTCATTGGATCCTATAAATACCCCCTCCGGGCCATGTCAAAAAGTAATTGAAACCAACCCTAAGCTCTTTTTATCTCCGCCCTAAAGGTAGTCCCGATTATTGCTGACTTAAACATCGGAGTGTCTACCCCAAGTTCCACCTCGGGGCTTTGCAGGTCATCTCGGAGTGTAAGCGCAAACTGAGAAAGGACTTCTGGTTTGGTGCAATTACACTACAAAATGTCTTATTTTACTTGTTTCGATACATATATAGTCATTGTTTATTATCCAGATGATATTTTAGACCCAAACTCCAACTTCAAAGTGGTAAGATTATA